CCGCCGCCGCACCACTCTTCCGGCAGTGTTGAGGTCATCGAAGGTCCGTTTGCAAGGGCCGGCGGACGCAGAGGGGGCGGGATTCACCCGAGTCTTCCTCCTCCACCAGGACTAGATGACTCCTTTCCTGGTTGTTTGCCTCTGCTGCCTTCACAATGGCTCGGCATAGAGCAGGTGGGTATCGTTCCGCTCCTTTAGCGCGTCCATGGAGTAGATGCTGGTGTCCATGATCCCCGGACATCGTCTTCCCAGCGCTCGATTCAAACGCTGACCATTCGCCATGAAGTTGGTGGGCTTCTTGTTCAACTCTTCTTCCCTTCTCACACGGAGTCCGAACTGACACTGATCTCTAGTTACCACACTGACTCCTGGCAGCTTCGTGCACCGCTGTACCGACTCCTCCTGCCATGCCCGGCTGCCCCGTGGGCGTTCAATTAGAGCCAGTTTACCTCGTCGGACTTGCCATTCATATAGCCGCATTGCAAAGTTGACATGTTCTACTCCTTCTCCAAGAATAGCGATCGCCTTGGTCCAGGAAATTCGCTTGTAGTTCCAATCTTGGAGTTGCGAGAACGGCCCACATGGAGGACACAGCACCAACAAATCTGGGTCCACCTTGATCAATTCTTCGAAGCATTTGCGCTTGTCCCATTTCTTGTTGAAGCTGAACCCATTCTTCAGGTCAAAAGCTGCTCCAGGTCCTCCTCCCGTTCTTGGGGCACCCTCGGCTCTGAGTACACCTCCGTATCCCTCTGCCACGTGGTTCATATGTTTGCAGATCCGCTTGCGACTTCCCTTGGTCAGCGAGCCCGTGACCTCATCCAAATAGTCTTCCTCCTCCGTGTCGTCCGAGGTCACTGCGAAATTTTGCCTCCATCACCGGGAAGCTCGATGGGCAAAATGCCTTGGTGAAAACTGATACCTGCCTTCCACGTCTTGGACGATGAAGCCCTCCTCAAGCACCTTCTCATCGGACAGCAGCACATCATCTCGAAGCTGCTGACTTATATCGCCGAATTCAACTGCTGGTAGGTGGTCAAGGGGATCCTCCGTCAAACTGCTTCCTTGCGCCCGCCGTCCAATTCCTCCTCACTTCTGCCCCTCCTTCTCCAGCTGTTGGCGGAATGCCATTGCCTGTGCTACCGTCTTGTGGTGGAGTTCTGGATCGTTCATTCCGCGGTTCATCTGCTCTTCCCCGGCGACTGCAGACATCCACATGCAGAGAGGTGCCATGAGAGTACTTGCAGGGCTTCCTGGTGTCCAAGTCTTGGCAACCTACACTGACATACCACCATTGCCAGCTCACGGGTCTTCAGAAACTTGCCGACGACCAATCGCATGTTTGCTTCCAGACGTGGAGACAATCATGAAGGAGCGCCTACTCATGGACGACATCAACATAGAGAATGAGGCAATTCTGCTTCCTGTCGCTCCATTATGTGTGACGCTGGGACTCGCTTAGGATCTGATCCTCCAGATACTTCCGCTGCGCCTCGTGGATCAAGCTCTGCTGGTCCAGCGCCTCCTGGTTCCTCGTCACCACCTCTGACACGCACGACTTCGCCACCTCTTGAGCGTGCGCCAGAGCGTGCTGGGTCATCCTAGCCGGCAAGACTTCCGCCGGGCACAGAGGTGCTGACCTACATCGACTAGCCAGCAGCATTTTGCCATCCCGGATGGTCCGCAGAGGGAAACCATCGGAACAGCCAGGAGTTCCACCATCGCAGAAGTCAAGATGGTGCATTCGAGGCGACAAAGATCCGGACCTGTTGCCTGAACCGCTATGCACCTACGGTGACCACAGCTGTGGTGAACATCGCGCTGCAGGTGGCTGCCAACCACAATTTCAAGACCTATGCGGCAGACCTCAAGAATGCCTTCGCGCAGTCCGGACGACTGGTGAGAGAGAGCGGGAAGTTCTTTTGCCGGCAGCCTAAAGGAGGGCTATACCTGGACTCCAACCACCACCGCATTGGCGCAAGAGTCTCAGGGGCGCGCTTCTGGAACTGGGCTACCAGCCTAGTGTGATGGACCCATGCGCATTCAAGTACATCGGAAGAGATGCGCGCGAACTACCTGAACTACAAGGATTGGTCGTCGTCGAGGTGGACGATTTGCTATGCGTGGGCAATGAAGCGCACGACAAGGTGCTGGCGAGGCTTCAAGAGAAGTTCACCTTTGGGAAGTTCGTGAACCTTCAAGACCAAAAAGAGGGAGCCTCATTCAATGGTCGTCGCATTCGAGCACTACCCGAAGGGGGCTATGCGCTACTTAGGTGTCACTTTTGAATTCGTAGTTGATTATAAGTATGGTTACAAAATCTACAAAAACTATTTCACAATGTTTGTAAATTCCAAAAAACTTGTTTTTTAGTGTTTCTAAAATTATGTTTTTTGAGTTTTTTGTGCTATGAAATGCAAAAGGCAGATTTTGAAGAATGGTGATTGCAAATATCTGTGATTAAACTGTGACCAAGCGCCATTTTGGTTGTTGCAAGCGTGCAAAGCCGACTTTGTGAGATATAACTGCACCTTTTGTGCTTCTTGGCGACGCAACCTTTCTCTGGCTTTTGAATTAGGAAAGGTCAGCCTTGGCTGAAAGTTTTTGTTTGTGCTTCTTGGGTTTGTTGCACTTGCTAACTTTCAGAAATAGTATCATAGCATAGTATGGATGTATATCTATGTAGCCGCACGTCTGAATAGATATGTGGAATGGTATGGGAATGGTATGGGGTGGTATGGGGTGGTATGGGGATGGTATGGGGATGGTA